TCCACAATGTCATTTAGGTATCATTGCAGTCATAATTTCTTAGCTTGTAAAAAAAATTCTTTAAAAGATGGGCTGCAGTGGGCGAGTGGTTAAGGTGTCTGACCGTCTATGATCAATTGCCCTCCACTGTACCATTGGGTCACAAGTTTGAGGACTACGTTGGGCAGTCAAAATCACAAAAAGACAAAAACCAGATCTTTTAAAGAACACTTCTTAATTCCTCTTATTTTAGGATAAAAGACGGATCCTCAAAGGAAGGTTTTGGGAGTGGTCATCTATTGTGGTCATCAATAGATATATTAAGTGTATATGTGGAATTTACAAAATGAAGGTATAGGGTACCCCTGCATCACTTTTAATTGCCAAAAAGAGTTCTAAGCAACCTAGAGGAGAGGGAGGGGTATACTGATCCTTCAATTTTGTCTTGATATATTCCAGGGGTGCAGAGAGCATAAGTGAGCATAGCCCCTGGAGTATCTAGGATGATATATCACAGTGTGTGCCTCCTTGTGGATGAAACGAAGTAAACACGTTTGGTGTACATCATACAAATCTCCTGTTAGCATAACAGTAAACTGGCTTTGAAGTCAGGTGTCACTCCTCTGTATAGTGATTGGCCCGGATTTTTAACTTGAGACTTATCAAATAGCTAGCCCTGTGCCTTCAATTTTCGCTATGACATATTCTTGGGATGGAGAGAGGAGAGCATATAGCGAAACCCCTTTCCAGCAGAACACAATTTGAATAGCCAATCATCTGATGACGGTGGGCTAAAATACACCACCTCAAATCTCTTATAGTTTTCAATTTTATCTGAGCAGAAACCAAGCACTATTTTTGGCTCGAAACCATAAAATGCTTAATTAGTTATTTGGATGAAAGTCCAACGCGAGAAAGAATAGATTTATAAAAGAGTAAAAGAATGAAGGAATTTCTGAGGATGAAAATGAAAATGCCAACTCATGATGTTGTCATAAATGTAACTTGAGTTAAAACAAGAAAATGTATTTGACAAATGACACTCAGCAAGCTGGAACCAAAAAGACAAGCACCACTATACCCAGATATGTTTTCCCTCAAAATCTTACCGATATGTGATATTCACCGAGAGTGACTTCCCTTGTTTAGAAAGTCACATGAGTCGTCCAACTTGATATCAAAGGTTGATGATGCATGCACAAAACAGAACAGAAAATAGAACCAAAAAGAATGGCTACTGTCTTCTACACTTGAGTTCAACCTTACAAGTATGGAATCAAGTTAAACATTAAGTAAAATTTTCTCCCTCAATCAAAGTATCACTGACAAGATCGGGCTCCATTCGTTCCATTCTGTAACACTTACACTGCAAGGTTGTCAGGTTGTTTGTATAACAAAGGCGATAAGACTTTGATAAAGGCTGCAGTAAAGAAGCTGTATACATATTGGATGTCACAACAGTGGAATATCACTCATCTCAACTGAGATCATTCAGAAAACTTCATCTTTGTATTGATATTAAGGAACAGAAATACAGTAAAGAATATTATATGCTACCTTATACACTTGTTTTGAGAGTTATATATTTCTTAATCATTTTTGAATAAGCATTATTGTATAATTCAGTTTGCACTTAGTGGTACAAATGTACTTGTGTGGACTGTTCAAACAATGTTAATCAATTAGCCAGATCATCGCCAAAAACATTTTTGTGTAGAACTCTTCGACAAAGGAGGTTCATGTCTCTTTAAGGTAGCATACATCCTAAAATGAAGTATCTTTTTAATCTGAAAACAATCATGGCATTTTAGTCCTTATTTTTTATTGTTGAAACTATTTTTTTAAACCCCTGTTACTAGACTAATGATAGTCCACTGTCTTGCAATGTTAATTCCAGCAGTAGATTCACCCTCGTAAGTTTTGTAATGATAATACCAGCAGTAGATTCACCCTCGTAAGTTTTGTAATGATAATACCAGCAGTAGATTCACCCTCGTAAGTTTTGCAATGATAATACCAGCAGTAGATTCACCCTCGTAAGTTTTGTGAAGGGCTTACCAACTCTCTTAAAGGTTTATTGAAAATGTCAGCAGTTGTTTAATCTTCTTGCATAAGTTCCTCCAAAAGCTGAATTTCCCAATCCTCACCAACACTTTCACCTACAGAAGTATCTTTACCATTAATATCATGGTAGTTAGCATAATACATTTACAAATTTACTTTTATGTGACGGATTACGCTCGGCTAAATTTTACCAAGTCACACATCTAACTTAGACCATTATCATAGGAACTTCATCATTTATATTCAATAAACTCTTCACATACAACATAATGGCAATGTAATTCTAAACACTGCTCTGTCTGATAAAGACATTTTTAAAATAATGTTTTGTTATTATACAATAGCTTATATTAATCAGAAGTTTCTCTCATGCCTCTGTGCTAAAAAGTGCTTAGTGTGACCTCAGCTAGATCCCTGGTCATGTCTCTGCTGTCAGGAGGTTTGAAATGTTTTAAAATTTTATTTGGGGATCGAGGGGCCTCTGGGATTTCCAGCATTTTCATCAATGTAATAAACCTCAGACTAAAAGTGGGACACTGCAAGAAGCCTTTAAACCAAGGGTTGTTCTAAATAGCAATCTGTTTTCAATCAGATTCTTTAATCAGTCTGACAATGTTAACATGAACTAGGCCTTGTTTTACATTAAATCTCACCTTGGCACTGGTATATGTACCCATTCTATACACTCAGGTATAAACACTAATTGACTGAAGCATGTTTCTAAACAACCAAACAAAGAAAATAATTGTAAAAATACCTTTAAAAATACCAAAAAAAACAGTCCTAAGTTAATCATGCACATGTATTCAAAACATGCTAACTAAAGTCCAGAAGAGTTGAAAGGATTTTTTTCTTGAAATTTTGTATATGTACATTATTCTTTTGGATTTTAGCCAATATTAGAATATTTCATTATAAACTAATTCATAGTAATCTCATGAATGTACAAATTACTGATCCTAATCAGAGGGCCGTATTTTGCAAAGATGATAATTGGATAACCTGAACATTCATGTAAACAATAAATAGTAATGGAAACCTGTACCTAAGGATGATTTACATGAGACAATGGATGCCTTTCATCACAGAAGTTAATACTGTACATATACAGACTTCACCACAACAACAAGGCTTTTTAACTCTCATATAATATGTTTCAGTTTATTTTTAATAAAACCCAGGTGGGTTGACATTGTATGGCAGTAATCCAACTAAAAATAAAGTGTCAAGGTTACCCTGATCTACAGAGATTAGGTTACACTTTAAAAGCATGTTGTTTTGATATGTAACATGAAATATGATCAGGCCGTTTTAGTGCAGCTTCCTCTCCTGGTATCGAGTACCCCTGTGATTACTTCCCATGTGACCACTTCCTACAGGATTGCATAATCTTCCCAGTAATACAGTGACTTGTATCTTATTTAAATCTGTCAGCTGACACTGACTGGAGGTCTAATTTAAATCAGTCCAGCTGACACTGACTGGGGTCTAATTTAAATCAGTCAGCTGACACTGACTGGGATCTTATTTAAATCAGTCAAGTATCTGAGGTAGTTTCAAACACTGACGACACTTTGCTGTAACCAGTCTATACACAAGTGGAAACCATATCTTTCTTATCATTGTCAGGCGAATGTACAATTGGAAATGAATTACATGTAAGATGTCTTAATCAAATAACATAAATCAGAAACAACAATATATCACAGGTCATACAAAACTATTTTTAAATATACAAAATTCCACAGAAATCATCAAATAACTGAATGTGACAACTTAATAAAATTAAATTTAGATAAAACTAGCAAACGTGTGTAAGGCATAAACAAAACACCTTAGCCCTGAAGTCAATAGACTACATACATGAAATACCCCCTTGGCCCTGAAGTCAACAGACTACAGATATGAAATACCCCCTTGGCCCTGAAGAGACTACAGACATGAAATACCCCCTTCGCCCTGAAGTCAATAGACTACAGACATGAAATACCCCCTTTGACCCGAATAGCCTACAGACATGAAATACCCCCTTGGCCCTTAATTCAATAGACTACAGACATGAAATACCCCCTTTGCCCTGAATAGACTACAGACATGAAATACCCCCTTGGCCCTTAATTCAATAGACTACAGACATGAAATACCCCCTTTGCCCAGAATAGACTACAGACATGAAATATCCCACTAGCCCTGAATAGACTACAGACATGAAATACCACCTTTGCCCTGAATAGACTACAGACATGAAATACCCCCTTGGTCCTGAAGTCAACAGACTACAGATATGAAATATCCCCTTGACCCTGAAGTCAATAGACTACAGACATGAAATACCCCCTTGGCGCTAAATAGACTACAGACATGAAATACCCCCTTCGCCCTGAAGTCAATAGACTACAGACATGAAATCCCCCCTTTGCCATGAATAGACTACAGACATGAAATACCCCCTAGGCCCTGAAGTCAATACACTACAGACATGAAATACCCCCTTTGCCCAGAATAGACTACAGACATGAAATATCCCTTGGTCCTGAATAGACTACAGACATGAAATACCCCCTTGGCCCTGAAGTCAACAGACTACAGATATGAAATACCCCCTTGGTCCTGAATAGACTACAGACATGAAATATCCCCTTGGTCCTGAATAGACTACAGACATGAAATACCCCCATGGCCCTGAAGTCAACAGACTACAGATATGAAATATCCCCTTGACCCTGAAGTCAATAGACTACAGACATGAAATACCCCCTTGGCCCTGAAGTCATTAGACTACAGACATAAAATACCCCCTTTAGACAAAAATATTAAAAGCTCACTTGCCAAGTGAGCTAAACAAATGGTGCCTTTATATAGCAAGCGAATTAAAAACATACAACCAAGTATTACTGACGCTTGGGGTTCATTATTAACATGATTAACTGTTTACAACAAAGGACAATTTGACTGACCTTCTTCTTGGTCATTTTTGTCTGCTTTTATCTCATCAACACCTAGCAGTTGCATCTCCTTTCGGAGATCGTCATCATTGACGTCATTTTCTTGAAAGGTGTCGCTGATGAATTCGTCTTGAGGTGGACTTCCAGCTACGAACTCTTCTTCCTTCTGAAGGTGATCTGAAATGAAAGAGAATAAGATATCAACTATGATATTATTATAACATTGTTGGACTGCTTATTATTAAAATATTTTGATGAATTCAGATATCAACTTAGTATCTGGGAACATGTTAGTAACTGTATCCACCAAATTTAGACATTTTATGATCTGAGAAATAAACATAAATAAGTGTATCTGATAAAGACACCAGTAGAGTTATTGTTTTAGTATATTGATGTGTCTTTTCCAGTCTGTTAGGAATTATGAAGAAATTGTGTATAAAGCCTGGTTTTGCTGAAGTGGTTTATAGTTTTGTGCTGTTGAGGTTTTTGCAAGAAGGATAGTCTTTCCACAAAGGGTTACACCGAAGTGGTCTTACAGGAATGTTGGATGTCTCAAGCTAGATTATACCCTGGTGGTCTTACAGGAATGTTGGGTGTCTCAAGCCAGATGTTGCCCTGGTGGTCTTACAGGGATGTTGGGTGTCTCAAGCTAGATTATACCCTGATGGTCTTACAGGGATGTTAGGTGTCTCAAGCTAGATTTTACCCTGGTGGTCTTACAGGAATGTTGGGTGTCTCAAGCCAGATGTTGCCCTGGTGGTCTTACAGGAATGTTGGGTGTCTCAAGCCAGATGTTGCCCTGGTGGTCTTACAGGGATGTTGGGTGTCTCAAGCCAGATTTTACCCTGATGGTCTTACAGGGATGTTAGGTGTCTCAAGCTAGATTTTACCCTGGTGGTCTTACAGGAATGTTGGGTGTCTCAAGCCAGATGTTGCCCTGGTGGTCTTACAGGAATGTTGGGTGTCTCAAGCCAGATGTTGCCCTGGTGGTCTTACAGGGATGTTGGGTGTCTCAAGCCAGATTTTACCCTGATGGTCTTACAGGGATGTTGGGTGTCTCAAGCTAGATTTTACCCTGGTGGTCTTACAGGAATGTTGGGTGTCTCGAGCCAGATTATAGCCTGGTGGTCTTACAGGAATGTTGGGTGTCCCGAGCCAGACTATACCTTGGTGAACTATTGGAATTTGGGTGTCCCGAGCCAGATTATAGCCTGGTGGTCTTACAGGAATGTTGGGTGTCCCGAGCCAGATTATACCCTGGTGGTCTTACAGGAATGTTGGGCATCTCGAGCCAGATTTTATTCGGTTGTTCTTACAGGAATATTCGGTGTCTCGAGCCAGATTTTATTCTGTTGGTCTTACAGGAATATCGGGTGTCCCGAGCCAGATTATACCCTGGTGGTCTAACAGGAATATTGGGTGTCCCGAGCCAGATTTTCTTACAGGAGAGGTGTTAGAACTATTATGATTTTTTTTATGAAATTTAAGCATGCCAATTAATCGTTTTGAAGTTTTATGCAAAGAGTGCAAATAGAAAATAAAAAGATTACATCACTGTTTTTTTCTGATATATCTCTAATTCACATCAATTTCGATCTGAATGACAGTTGTCTCCCTTCAAAAATATTCATCATAAGAGAGTAGCAGTATGAGTGCTCATTGTGAGAACCATCTTTCTTCCCAGCAATATGTTTCAACATCAGGTTGTTGACACCATCACTAAATATTATTTATACTACAGTATTGAAATGTCTGATATGCAACAAGGAAATGATGACACGAAAATAAGACAAGAAGAACATGTGTATTACACAGGGTGGAGCCTCCTGAACAAGGAAACATCAGAAAACATCAACGTTTCCATTAATTAAAGTATCATATACATACAAGATTGTTGAACTATTAACATAATAACAATTAGTATCTATGTTACAACAACTGTGAATCGGTTAAGCTAAAATGGCAGAAAATTAATTACATGAAATTTTGTATTGGGACAAATGTTCACATCACCAGGAGGGTTAACAACATTCCTGATACGTTGAATCTTCAACTTCCTGTAGTTTCTATTATTCCTAATAGATTACAATATTTATGAAGATACATTTCCTTACATAATTTATGAACTCCCTAAGTGGACTCTGAGTTGATGCTTCCCTAAGTGAACTCTGAGTTGATGCTTCCCTAAGTGAACTCTGAGTTGATGTTTCCCAAAGTGAACTCTGAGTTGATGCTTCCCTAATAAGTGAACTCTGAGTTGATGCTTCCCAAAGTGAACTCTGAGTTGATGCTTCCCTAAGTGAACTCAGAGTTGATGTTTCCCTAAGTGAACTCTGAGCTGATGCTTCCCTAAGTGAACTCTGAGTTGCTGCTTCCCTAAGTGAACTCTGAGTTGATGCACCCCTAAGTGAACTCTGAGTTGATGTTTCCCTAAGTGATATCTGAGTTGATGTTTCCCTAAGTGAACTCTGAGGTGATGCTTCCCTAAGTGAACTCTGAGTTGATGAACCCCTAAGTGAACTCTGAGTTGATGCTTCCCCAAGTGAACTCTGAGTTGATGCTTCCCTAAGTGAACTCTGAGTTGATGCACCCCTAAGTGAACTCTGAGTTGATGTTTCCCTAAGTGGACTCTGAGTTGATGCTTCCCTAAGTGAACTCTGAGTTGATGCTTCCCTAATTTATAAGTGAACTCTGAGTTGATGCTTCCATAAGAAGACTATTTGAAACCTATTTACGTGACTTTTTTTATAACTAAGTCTATATGATCAGAAATTAGTCTAGGTCATCCTGCAGTTGACGGAAATGATGCCCAGATCTGAAATAAGATATGACTTAACATATTCAAGCATTGTTCAAAAGTAATATGCTCTGATTTTGAGGTAATTAGTGACAATTTTGTTTTTGTAATTATGGCCACTATAAGTTTGGGGTCCCAATCTACAAAATCACCATGACTTTTTATCATTTATATAGCTAATACCTAAACAGAAATCTGAAGCCTGCAAGGAATGCAATCCATTTTCAAGAAAACAGTATCCACAATGACTATTATACGGATATCTGTTTATTCATCCCCAGGCCCTCCACTAGATTTTCTAAACTTGACATTTTCCTGTTATGTGTAACAGGTGTAGCACCGTATATGTACAGTGTATATCGCCATACACATTAACATGTATTGAGAGACTTACAAAGTCTTTTCAATAAATCTTCACAAAGTGTCTTTGTAAATATATACCTGTGTTCATGGTCAAACAGTACGCTTTATATATGGTATGGAACAAAAAGCACAGAACGATCTACAAATAAACAAATAACAAGGAGCACTAAGTTACCTCCCTTAGAGTTTGGCACCACGCCAGTATTGGAAACCAATGTGTTCTTTATCAGCGTGAATTCAGGTGAAATTGATTAATGAACGTTTGTCAGCAATTGAACCCAATACCTCCTCTTGCTGAATGTAATACAACCATGTTGTTATGTTTACAACACAATTCAAACTTCAGAATTCCAACAGTAGAATGTATTAATGCAAACTATTTTTAAAGAATCAAAAAGCAAATGAAACTGAAAGTCTGTTCCTACCAATAAGCAGAGGAAATCAGCTTAAACTTCCTTCTTATATACTAACTAGACTTTCTACAATAAGATCACAACACAAACAATACACACTTGTTTACCACAGAGCATTACATACTGTTTATTTATATACATGTACGATAAGTCACCTCCTGGGAGGTGACACACATTTATATTGCCATTGTGTAAGTTGTCTGGAGCAATAAATAACACAACTAAGTATCTATTATTATAACTTATGTAAGGACAAAAACTATTTTCAATGAATTGTGTTGAGATGTACAACTCTACTTTTTTCAGAGTTTGTTTTGGAATATAGAGAACAAAGTCACCATCCACTGATCAAGTTCTTCAAGTAGGTTTTCCCAACAAGTTTGCTTAATACTGATATTATACTACAATAAGTTTTATTTCAATTTGCCAAGCTTATACTCCTTGGTAACTAAATGATACCCCAGACAACAAAGCTATCTAAACAGAACAAGAGGCCCAGAGGGCCTGTATCGCTCACCTGAATATGTTTAAAATAATTGGTATGAAGTAGGTGCTGTAAGTACATATGAAATTTCAGAAAGATCCATACAGTACTTGAGATATAGTGAGAACAAACTTCAAACAGAGCAACCACCCCTAGGGGGGTCATACCCACTGCTTATACAAAATTGAGTCCCCTTGGCCCATAACAAAATGTTCATCAGGGAAAAGGTACAAAATTTAACCTTTACCTTTGACCCAGTGACCTTGACCTTTGGTCAATTGACTCCTTGTTTAATTCCGAGCAACATTCCTTCAAAGTGTCATAGCTAAATGTTCACCAGTGAAAAGATACAAAATTTAACATTGACCTTTGACCCAATGACCTTGACCTTTGGTCATTTGACTCCTTGTTTGTTTAATTCTGATCAACTTTGCTTCATCATGTCACAACAAAATGTTCATCAGTGAATACAGGTGTAGATGCAAAAATTGACCTTGACCTTTGAATCTAATTACCTTGACCTTTGACCTCAACTTTTTACCTCAATGTGTATTTTTTTTATCTCAGTGTGTCTCTTTGTTTAATTCCAAACAACTTTGCTTCATAATGTCAAAGTGAAATGTTCACCCGTGAAAAGCTACAAAAAATTGACCTTGACCACTGACCCTATGACCTTGACCTTTGGTCAGTTGACTCATTGTTGAATTCTCATCAACTTTGCTTCATCATGTCATAACAAAATGTTCATCAGTGAAAATATGTAAAATTTGACCTTGACCTTTGAACCTAATGACTTTGACCTTTGACCTTGACTTTTTACCTCAATGTGTATTTTGTGAACTGAACATCTTGACCAAGTTTCATGTACATAGGTCAATAAATACCAAAGTTATCAGCCAGGAACAAAATTTGTGGACGGACAGACAGACAGACAGACAGACAGACAGAGTGATTACTGTAGGGCACCCGTATCTCCGATATTGGGCCCTAACAAGTAATAGGTATTAATACACGCTATAATGTAATGTGCTGTAAAACAAGTAATAGGTAATAAGACAAGCTATAATGTAATGTGCTGTAAAACAAGTAATAGGTAATAAGACACGCTATAATGTAA